GGGGGGCGGGCGGGGGATATTAACCAAAAGCATTTTACTGTCATCTCTGAACATGGTAAGGAGAAATGTTTTGCCCATGTTTGGCAGTTTTAAGACCATATTTTATTTTTAGAATAGCTTCTTTGAGGAGAGTTCCAGTGCAATACAGAGAAAATCCCCTAAAAGATACCACATGCGTGCTCTTGGGGCCTGAGCCGCTCCTTACGGACTGTTAGCTACAGCCTCAGGTCCAGCCTCAGGTCCAGCCAGCCTGCCCGGCGCTCCTGGCACTGGAGACGGAAGGGTGGCCTGCATCTGTAGTCAGCATGCCTGAGACTGCAGCGTCCATGAGGCTGCAACTGGGCAGCCTGAAGAAGCACTAAATTACCCAGGGTACAGTCCAGCAGAGTCTGGTACTACGTGGGCTGTTCTGCTTACAGTGGTGTTTCCCTGGTCAGCTTTACTGTCCATGGGAATTTCCCATAGCTGGCCCTTAGCTTGGCTGACTGGGCTTCTCCTGGAAAGGCAGGTCTGTCTTGCAATATATCTTGCATAATATATTCTTAGTGGCCTGAGGTATCAGGTAAACTAGAGTTAAATTATTCATATATCTTTATTAAAATGTGTTTGAAACAGGAGCTTGCTTTTAAAATAAGGGTAAAACTTTCAGCAGATATGTTTTGATGATGCTTTTTTTTGGTTGGTTTTTTTTTTTTTTTGACAGTCTGCCACTTTATTGTTTGGATACAAATTACTCAAATGCTTATTTGAAATTTGCATATTAGAGAAGCCTGCTTATTTAAAAACCAAAGCAAACACCATAATGTGCTGATAAATAGTCTCACAAGCATTCTCCATTGGCTGTGTGCAAAGTCAAGTGTGAGAGGTCAAAAAGATGCTGTAAATCTTCCTTGATGTTTCTCTAGCATGCAGCATGATGCTCTTGATTGTCTCTCCCCTCATCTTTGCTCCTCTGTGATTGACTTAGAGGAGTGGTAGAGGTGGGAGGGGAGGCTTTAGGTGTGTTTTCTGTGCCTCTCCATTCTGGGAGTCAGCACTTGGATAACTCTCGGCACTGTTGTTTTGATCTTGCAGACTTACGTTGTCCTTCCAGGAAGAGCATGCATTACTGAGGGTTAGATTTACTATGGGATTGTAGGAAGGATTGCATTTATTGTTATGATGGACTCTGTTCTCAAGTGCATAAGCATTTTTATTTTTTACTTCATTAACAGTAAAAGATAATTTGTTTTAAAAGATGATAGCCCTCAGCATAAGAAAGACATGGACCTGTTGGAGCGGGTCCAGAAGAGGGCCATGAAAATGATCAGGGGGGTGGAACACCTCTCCTATGAGGAAAGGCTGAGAGAGTTGGGGTTGTTCAGCCTAGAGAAGAGAAGGCTTTGGAGAGACCTTATTGTGGCCTATCAGTACTTAAAAGGGGCTTATAAAAAAGATGGCGGCAAACTTTTTAGCAGGGCCTGTTGCGACAGGACAAGGGGGAACGGCTTTAAACTAAAGGGGGGTAGATTTAGACTAGATATAAGGAGGAAATTTTTTATGCTGAGGGTGGTGAAACAGTGGCACAGGTTGCCCAGAGAGGTGGTGGATGCACCATCCCTGGAAACATTCAAGGGGAGGTTGGACGGGGCTCTGAGCAACCTGGTCTAGTTGAAGATGTCCCTGCCCACGGCAGGGGGGTTGGACTACATGACCTTCAGAGGTCCCTTCCCACCCAAACTATTCTCTGATTCTATGATTTTCTGGGATAGGCATCTGGTAAGTCACTCCACTACTTGTACAGTGTTTTGATTCTCTATTTCAACCAGACTGAGTGTAACGTCCCACCTCTGGTATGTTCAACCTTTGATTGGTCACTTGCTTTTACCAAATTCATTGAATTGATACTAAAACTTAATATGACTTTTGTTTGAAAGTGCGTGTAGTGTTTGGAAATGCCTGGTCGTTTTTTTTTTTAATTGCAGTCTGTGCAATGTTTTGTTTTTCAAAAATAATTTTGGAAAAGCTGATTTTATTAACTGACTTTCTGGTTCCAGGAAAAAGAATGAGAGTTTTTCTACTTGCCTTCATTGAGGCTAGAGTTTCATTCACTGTGAACATGTGAACCATTTTGATTCTTTACCAATAATTTCAAGCACAAGTATGTACATTTCTCAGTGAAGCGCTATTTTCACTGTATCTTATGATAAATATTTTAAAGCAGTTTGTTTGACCTCTAGTGTTGAGCTATAAAATTGCACCCCATTGACACAAAAATATCTTACATTTCAGAAAAACCGGTCTCCCCCAAATCAGGTACATTGAAGAGTCCACCTAAAGGCTTTGATACGTCTGCAATTAACAAAAGCTATTACAATGTGGTGAGTGATCCTTTTTCCTGCATGTGAGCTGTTATATACAGTAGAACGTCATTTAGCTAAATGTTCTTATCTGCACAAAAAATTTGGCAGTCTTGTCAGAGCCTTAGTGCCAAAACTAGATAGGGGTTTTAGTGAATTCTTATATAAGCAAGATCATTATTAGTTTAGTAGAGTATCACGCATACGGATTCTTAAGCGTGATGCAAAATTATAGTCTAAAGTAAGTGAATAAGACATTTCTGTAATTTATTACGCTCATTTTATTTGCTTTGCTAGTTGTTAATTTCCCTTTTCTCCCCTGTCCCCAAAATATGCAATCAGTCTTCCCCAATCTCTGAATTAATGAAACTGCTGTGTTAAAATGATTAGGAATATTTTTGTCCTTTTTGTTGAACAAGAGATTGAACATTTTGAATGAATTTGCCTCCTTTGTATTCATGCTTATAAATCAACTGAATTATTAACTTCGGGAACCTCTCCCTTACTCTGATGGATAGATTTCACAGCAAAAGCGGTAGAGCCAGAGTCAGCCTTTAATGCACCCCCAGGAATTCTTGACCTAGTAGTCAGACCTGTTTAGTAGATGCATGTAAGAAACATACCAAACTGGCTTTAAAGGTGTTGTTGTAACCATTTTGAGAATCCTTTATTTAATAACAACAGATACATTGGGAAGCAAAAAGCATCTTACTGTTTTTGTTAACCACTGCTCCCTGCTGGTGTAAAACCAAAACACAAGGTTTCTTTCCCTTTGAAGCAACTGTCATTGTTTTTCCATTTTATTTGTAAGCTTTTAGCAGGGATCATAAAGTGTCGTTTTATGCTTTCATCTTTTGTGGTTGTGGCATGAATAACACCAGCCACCTGGAAGAACAGAGCAGTTTTGCGTATAGTCCCCTAATTGAAAACAATGAAGCAACCTCCTGCTCCTCCCCTCCCCCAGGCTCGCCTGGTGCCTCTGCCGGTAGCCGTGATTCCATGGTAAAGGGAGGGCTGCAATTCTTTGGCTGTTGTATCCCACGCCTGCTAGTCACAGTGGAAAGTACCTGTGAAGGCACACCTTCCTTCAAACTGCAGGAAGTAATGATCTTGCTGTGGTAGATCCAGCAACAAAATATTGGACAGTTTTACTTTTTTTGTTTTTCACTATATCTCTTTATAGTAATTTTTTTTTTCAAAGTTGCTGTAGTGTGTAGTAGCAAATATGTCTTCTCTGTTGTTGTTTTGGTGTTAAAATCTGTGTTTTTCAGTACAATTAAATGGAGGTGAATGCAGGAAAGAGGATTTAGTTCCTTTGCTAGGCAGAAGACTGTTCTTACTTAAGTTCAATCTATATCTGTGTTGAATTTTTAATCAAAATAAATTGGCAGCTCTCTTGAACACTAGTCCTTTAGATTTGGGTTGGTTTTGGTGTTTTTTTTAATTTTGAAGGCAGTGGTAAAAACATGCCTCATATATAATCTTATATTATTATTTCTCTGATAGATCTTAATATGATGAAAAGTAGGAGTTGCAGCTGTTTAATTTGGGCTTAACTAAAACTCCAGTTTGACTGTGTCCAAAATGAATTGAGTCTTGTGGTTGCATTTTTTAAGAGTAATACAGACCATTTTTGGGGGTGATATTTACTTCCTATTATTTTCACTGAAGTACACTGTTTGGATTTGTGTAAAACCATAGTTAAGGCGCCTAAGTTATAAAAGGCCGTAGCATTTTGAAATATCACCTTTGGCTTGTGTGGTTTTTATAATTGTTCCCTGGATAACCTATTATCATAATCATGGAGACTGAAGCTACTATATACTTTGGGAAACAGCCATAGCTGGCTTTTAAAGTAGTTTAACTTTTAAAAAAAAAAAAAAAAGGTGAAACTGGTGACCATCATACCTGCTCTTGGAATTAGGTTATTTGTCATCTTACTCAGGTGCAACTTCTTGGTGCACTAAAGTGATGTAATACAATTTCCACTGTTTTGACTGCTAGCTTTTTATTAACTGTTGATGATGTATTGCGGGAGGCAGGGGCGGCGGAAATGACCAGTTCATAATAGTGTGTGTATATATAGTAAATTAGAGCACTGGCCCTAGAGTGCTGTTTTTAAGTCTGTCTGCAGTGAATTGGATAATTGTCTTGTTTTCACCTTTTTCCACAGTGTGGCAATTACTCCCACTTTATTTTTAAGCTCACCATTTTATTATTTTTGTTTAAAGAGTGAGAGGCTATGCTGTAGCATGCACTTTGTTTCAGAGAAGTAAGATTTTACTGTTGTGCTTAAAACCTAAATTAGACTAGCAACTAGATTTTCGTGAAAAATACTAAGTGCTTCCAATGGCAATATAACTATAAAATAATTATTTTTAATAATTATTAAATTATTTTTACACGTAGATAAGACAAAATAGCGAACCCATTCACTGCAATGAAAGCAGTTTAACCTGTGAGTTGAGTTTTTATTCTGTCTTAATATGTAAGCTGTAGACATGGGACTTCCCTGTGCTAGAAGTCTACGTGCTCATAACAAAATTGAGCCCATACTGAGGTAAAAACAGAACAGCTCCAAATAAACCTTTGGCAACTGGTAGCTAAAAGGACGTAGCCTGAGTTAGAGTAAGCATTAAAATCTGTGTTAAAGGCTCTCTTGACAGCCAAGCATGATTTGAGGCTGGTACTCTGGGACTGCTTGCTATTTTTATGTTGTGGCTATCTTCCACTATACGGGTATGTGCTGAGAGCCTGTAAACCTCATGATTATTTATTGCTGTTTTTCCTAGGGAAGGGTTTGTGCAGGTGCAGATAGCACCTGTGGGTACATTCGTCAGACTGAGGACAAATTCAAAGGACAGTTCAGAGGAAGTTCAGAAAGTGGTAGGAGAGGCTCTGCTAATCTCCCTTTCTGGGAAAAGGGCTGGGATAAGCGAAGAGAAGGGTGCTAAATGTAAAGAGGAGACTGCTTTCACCACTTACCTCTGTTCTTCACCCCCTTGTCAACGTGTTCTTTAGTTTTATGGATACACAGAGCTCCATCTGAAGTTCATAACACAAATCACATACCTTCTAGTCTCAGTATGCTTTATTAGCTGCACCTTGCACTAGGTGTTGCTGAGAAGACAGAACACATTTGGTTTATGCTTACATTTTGCCTGGCTCAGGAATGCAGGTTAGTAGAGAATGACTAGTGCTACAAGGTCTTGTCCTCCATAAAATGGTACAAGTCTACAGCAGTGTGTAATATGAACCAGACTCGTGATCAAGCACGAAGCATTTTTCATGTAGAAGTAATTTAGTAACCTGTTACTGAAGAAGCAGGCATATTATTGCAGGTTATTCCCTGAAGACAGAGCAGGCATTATGCTGAGTCTTATTTTTACTTGTTAATCCCTTGAATTTAAAACTTTGTGTCCAAAATAAAATTAGGTTATCTCCACTTACAGGACAATTGCCTTGAGATTAAGTAGCTGTTCTAAAAGCAGGTAAAGAAATGGGGAACTTTCTCCATAGTACGAGTATTTGGATGATCTCATTTTTCAGTTAAGTGTTTGAGAAGTGATGGAAAATAAGCACTCCTTTTGAGGCCACGCTTTTGAAGTTGGGTCAAGAGTTTGTGTTTACTGAAGTTCATAAAAGTTTTTGAGAACCCTTGAGATATGGTATACTTGTGTGGTGCTTTACATTGCCCCTCTCGAGGGCCTGTTTTAAGGGGTTCATCTCTCAGATTCTTGTGACTGGGAAAATTAGACATTGATCACCATTTTGCTGAAGTACGTGATATTTCAGTTGAGTGCCATACTACTCCCATAAAACGGGGAATGTGCTACAGGATCATGCCCGAATGTAGCTGTCAAATCTGCCTTTTCTTCCTCTGATTTGGAAGGCGATCAGCTTCATGTAGGTCATTTAAAATCCATTTTTGGGTGGTGGTTTTTGCCTTAGGGAGATGGCTGGGGTTTTGCGTGACAGAATTGTTAACCATGCTTGAATTTTCCATGCCGTGTGATTGAGAGAGCTTGTGCTGTATGAGCTCAGTTGTCTGTGCCTGCCATTCATCAGTGTTACGGATTGCAAAAGCTGCCGCTTCAATGCTGCTCTTTTGGTACCCGGTCTTATCTGTGCAAATGTTGTGATGGAGTTGTGGAAACAAGGTCTTCGAGGTCTCATGGGGTCTTGCAGCAGCCAGAACGCGCAGAAAGCAGGAAAGGGAAGAAAGGTGATTATTAGCGCATGTGGGCGAGATGTGGATATGAGGAATGTAAGGGTGCTCTGGTGCCAAAATACTGAGTTGCACTACTGACTACTTATCGCTTCAAAGCACAGTCCAAGCATTTAATCCTCACAGCTTCTCAGTGAGGTAGGTAAGTCAGGCTGGAAGGATGTGAGATTTCACAGAACTGATGTTTTAGAGCTATGTAAGCAAGATTATTCTTTTAAAAAGATATTCAAAGTAAAAGAATGTTGTATGCAGTGGAAACTGTACTTGGGGGAAAAAAAAAGAAATCGATTTAATGTGTTTTGGGAAGTTTTTAAAACTGTGTATATCTAAAATATTGTGTAACACTGAACTACTAGAGTAACATAAAGCAGTATAAGTGTATCTGGTACTCTACGTAGGTGTTGTAGCATAGTTTTATTTACAGTTGCATTTATTTTCCTTTTTTCAGTAAGGTATCAGGTTGCTAATTCTAGTTTTTAAGCTTCCCCGTTCTTTTTTTTTTCCTCTAAGTTTTTTTCCTCCAATCCCATACTCTCTATATTGCAAAGAAAATCTTCAAATAAAAATCCAAACCAGCACAGGAAAAAAAATGGAGTTGTGTCCAACATAAAACTACTTCTACTTCAAGCTTTTCAGACAGCTGTTTATAGCAAAGAATGGAAATACTCATCAAGAAAATGGAGAGTGGTGCAGCCTTTCAAGATCACTAGCAAATTTGTTGACTTTTATTTTTGAATGTCTCTTAATGCTGTTCAGTGCTTCATCAGGACGCTGTGTGTTTGTCCTTGGCTTTCAGTCTCCTTTTCCCTGCTAATGGCTGTGTAATTACTTTGGGCTGGGAGATTTTTGTAGGAAGAACAATATTGGAAAAGGTTGGTCTTGAATTTAGTTTTGAACCTCATGGATCCTAAGTACTTTTACATTTCCATTTTAACAATTGACTGACTTTGTTTTATAGACGTGTAAGAGAATGTGGGGTTTAATTAGTGCTACGATCGGTGGAAATTTTTTCTTTTTTTTTTTCCTGGTCTAAGTAGTCAAAAAACCCTTCGCTTTTTAAAAATTTGTGTGCCCATGTTGTACTTTATGCTGTGGTTTCCTAGTTAGTAGCCATAACTTTCCCTGTGACATTCTTCTATCATAGTGTTTAGCAGAGAATGGAGACATTTTAATCTTCAGTTCAGGATTCAGATTTCCAACAAAAGAATGAACTCAAAAGTGGTGTCTCTCTTTCTCCCCCCAAATGAATAGAAGCATTCAAGGAATAAGCAGAATCAATGACACCAATGAAAGGAACAGTGAATTCTTCATTGACATACCAAGCTATTTAAAGTTATTTCATCAGGTTTGCATTTAGGAATGAATGGCTTTTTTTAATTCCTAAGAAAGAGTATTGACTACAACAGTGAATAATGCACTCAATTACAGTCGTTACTATAAATGCTGAAATGAGATATTACTGTAGGCTTGACAAATACGGCATGTAGCAAAATGAGAAGGTTTGTGGTGTGGCTTATGACCAGTGAATAGCAGAAAGTTTTCAAAGCTCAGCTGTGTTCATTGAACTACATTTAATTCTGATGATTCTCGTGCTAAATCATTAACTTTTTGGAGGCAAAAAATAATTCACCTGCTAGAAGCACCGTAGAACTTGATGTGAAAATATATTGGAGGATATCCTAAAGCTGACTCCTGGGAGATGTCCCAGTAAAATGCTTTCTTGTACATATTTGGGAGTATTCCAATTGTTTAACTTACATTCCGCCAAAAAACAAGCATGTGCTGTATTTTATAAATTCTTGGCTTTGCATCAAAATGTGTTGTAATTTTCTCATGGTAGTGTACATTACTGCACTCCCAGTGGAAGGTTAGGCAGCCCCGTTTTAAAATGAATGCAATAATGCTAATCATATTGCTAAGTAAAGTTGTCAATTACTTGATATTTATAAATCTGTTAACATTCAGACCTTCTAGATAGAGCAGCGCATCTGAATAAGTAAACACTTTGCTAGCAAGATTAGTTGTAATGTCTTGTAGTTGAGATGGCGAAAACAACACTAATTGTTCATTTCTCTTACAACTTCTATCGTGCTTTACCAACCTCTGATGATCTTTGGCTGTTCTGAAGTACATAGGAGGAATAATTACCCCTAGCTTTGGAAGAACACTCTGTAGAGCTCTCAAATTTTACAGTAAAAGTTTTAAGTTTTTTACCACTTTTTTTTGTATGTGGCTAAAGGATGGCTCATATTGTGTGTGGTGGGTTTTTTCCCCTGTGAATTTCATAGATGTATAGTATTCAATGCTTTCTTGCTGACATTTAAATTTTTAATGTAGGAACATTCATTTAAATTTTCCTAGTGCTAAGTAAATTTTAGTATGCTTTAAAACTGGTATTGATTTGAGCATTTCGAAGTATATCTTAAAAAATACTAATTAACAACTGTCATTTATTGTAGGTGCTACAAAATATATTAGAAACAGAAAATGAATATGCTAAGGAGCTACAAACAATGCTTTCAAACTACCTGCGACCATTACAAGCCAGTGAAAAGTATGTGAGTTTGTTTTGTTTTTAAATTAAGCTTGAGATCTCTCGTGTATTGGGGAGGGTTTACATGGTCAAAACTTCAATTTCAATGTCAATGTGCATTTTCTTGTGTGGACTGTGAGATTTTGAGGCAGAGCTTGCTTGTATGCAGTTTGTTTGCTGACTAAAGCAGCCTGGTCTTTGACCTAAGAACCAGTAAGTATTTTCTGTTAAGATTGTAGGTTTTATTAAAGCACAATTAGTCAATAACTGCAAACCTAAACACCTTTTATTTACTTTGGCTCCAGGTTAAACTCAGCAAATACTTCATACTTAATGGGAAATCTAGAAGAAATAAGTTCTTTCCAGCAAATGCTTGTACAGTCTTTAGAAGAATGCACCAAGTAAGTACTATGCATACCAGATACTGTAAAATTCTAACAAGCAAATATTTTTTATTATTTTACTTGTGTATGTTCTTTGTGGTAATTTTTGTTCCTCTCACTCTAAGGATAGTTGCTACAGCAGTACAGTAATAGATGTTTGGATAATGTATTGATTGCTTGCGCAGATAGATATTGGCCCTAGGATGCGCTTGCAGAGGTAGGAATTCTGACGTAGTTTGGAAACAATTTATGAATTTCCATGATGCAATTGCATACCAGTGGGGAAGTGGTGTTTTTTGTTTTGGAAGCATGAATTTTAAGTCTTTTCTTAAAGTAAGAGAAAGACTGAAGGGAGCTTTTATTGTGATGGAACAGTGGAGGAGGGGGTTAAGTGAGTTGGATGAAGGATGCTGTATGAGAATGCTTGTGCTTCGTATTCTTCTGTCCTGATGGCTCATATTCGTCAAAATGTGCTGAGAGGCGTGCAGGATAGGCAGAAAGAGCAATCTGAATTAAAAAAATAAGTAGCCTCAATGCCTGTACTGTACCGTATAGGAAGCATGAAGCACAGGAAAAAGGGGATGAAGACACCTGTGCTCCTTCCATAGGTTAGGCTGAAGTGGTAGCTGGATATTTTTCAGCTTGTACCTCAGCACTTGGGGGTGTAAGAAGGAAGGTGACCATGTCACATTTGAATTGTCCTAACACTTGTCTAGTGTTGAAACTCCACTGAGAGTGTAGTTCCTGTTCCTAACCTCAGTTGCGTCCTTTTCCTTGCCTGTGTTCTGGCTTTGTCTGACCACATGGTGAGCTAAGGCAACTTGCTAATCCACATTTGCTTGTTTTCTGCCAAGTTAGTAATTTGAACTGCTACTGAGGGCTTAGACAAGTTTCATTCTGCTGGGAGTACTTGCCTGTGAGGAGGATTGAATGTCTTGGATGGAGGAGAGAATACCTCCTTTGGCAGCAGTGATCTTTAGATCAGCTCAGTGTGTCTTCTTTTGACCTCTTCCTCCTCTTTTCCTCTGAGCTGCCCTGTGTGAAGAGGAAGCTTTGTCATGACAAAGTATAAGCTGCGTCTCCACTAGGCAGTAATGTGTGTCTGGGTCTGTTGCTGAATTTGGATCCCATGTCCTCCTACCACCTGGCTTCTTTCCCTCTCTTCTGCCTCTAGACAACATAGACTGCAGAGAATGGGAAGGAGGACGGTGTAGTTTGGATGACTATCAGCAGTGGGATGGAAACGTTCTTGAAATGGCCTTTCCTTCCACACTGTGTTTGAGAAAGAAGGATATTCTTTCTGGCAAGTTAGGCTTGATCAGTTAGGTGTCTAAATCCCTGAGAATGACTGTTTGTTCACGTACTTAAATGTTTCCTTTCTTTTCTTGTCACTGTGCTTTGTTGTCTCACTCTTTTGTTACCATGATTTTGTTTCTGTGAATCAGAAGTTAGGGAAATGAAGTACCTTGCATGAACAGACTGTCATCTTTTAAAACTCTTGATTAAGATGGTCTTAAAAACAAGAGTGGAAGAGCATATGCCTTTAAACAAATATTAATGCAAGCTGTGTTTTAACTTTGGTATGTAGATTAATGTGATATAATGTAGCTTGAAGCTCAGAAAGCTTATTTAGAATTCCTTCCTTGATTTAAACTCTATTAGAGCACCTTCTCATAATGTCCTTTATTTCTTCTTCCTGGTAAGTGAAATATTGCTGTGTAATACATTAGGAATATACTGGATGCTAGTAGGTGGGCAGAGGAAATGATGCCCCAGGATTACTGAAGGGTTACTGCAAATGTTTTGTGTTATTTTCTTTTCATAAATATGCTGGTCATGCCAAGTTGTATTTTCAGTTTAATTTTCATCATAGCATATTGACTTCAGCGTCCAGCTTCCTCCTGTTTTGAATCTAATCCATCATAATTCCCATCATGTAGAAGAACGCTTGCCCTGCTGCCTTGTTTTTTGTCATTTTGCTGTGTTTTTTTTTGCTACTGACCTGTTCTGTAAACTCAGAGTAGCTCCTGGGCTGAAAATAGGTTTATCGTCTTGGCAGAGAGATTATAGTTCCATCATTCAGGCACTTCATATTGCAGCATCTGGTGTCGTGTTTTTTCTAACTTGACATGTCAGAATGACCAAATGCCAGTTGTAGTGCCACCAGCCTATGTTGCTTGACAAATTCCTGTTCTTGGGCATGAGAGTTGAATGTTTTTTGAATTCCACACCCCACTCGAGTCAGTTTGTCATTGAGTCTTCTCTTAACAAATCCTGGCATGTACTTCAGTGACAGAAACTTTCTGGTGCTTTTCTTCTTGCCTGCACCACGTTGGCTTGTTTAATTCTCATGTTGTTAAACGTGGTTTGGTGGGGTTTTTTTTCCCCAGAACACATAATGCTGTAGGGGCTTTTTTGTGTTTTGGGGCAAGGAATTGTTTGGGGATGTGGTTTCGTTTTGATTGTGTGCCACCCTCCCACCCCAACTCCAACCTTAAAGCTCTTCTGGTGCATTGCTAAAGGTTTGTCCTCTTTGAACACAACTGTCCAGGTTGGCCTCTGTTGCAGTATCACTGTGGTGCTCCTGTGGGCTGCTCCATCTGTCACAGGCCTGGGAACACTTCTTGTCTGCCTGCCTGCATGCTGGGCACCATCGGAGGGATTTGTCTGGGGTTACTTCTACCTTTGTGACTTCCCTTCTTTATTTACCAAACAAAAGTGGTGTATGAAAGGAGTCTTAACTAGCACTGAGTGAGAACCTTCTGGCTGATCTGCTTCAGAAGTGTGTTTTTTGACTGATCAAGTGCACTTTGTTTTGATGGACGGAAAAGAGCTGTAACTGACAAGGCAGAGAGATGCTGCCGGAGTCTTCAGTTGCAAAAGTGTCTGAACAGAGCAAGAGCGCTCCGTGCTCTGCTCTCTTGAAGACAGAAAGTGGTCCAGTGGTCTAGGTCTCTTTACAGATCCGTGATCCAGTGCCAAAGCTCAGTTCTGCAGTGGTTCACACAGCAGAGGAGTCTCTGAACGAAGAAAGTCAGTGTCCATCAGGTGATCTCTGGGCTGATGTAAATTATCTGTATTGGAAGTATTGCTCTTTAGGTATTTTTGTAGCAGGAGATTGAACAGATGTCTCCTGCTCCAAAAAAAAAATTCTTCCATTCACCTGGGAATAGAATCTGTCAGTCTATGGCTGTACTTCTCAGTAGGGGGGGGGATGTGACACACAGGCTGGCTGGTGACACCAGCTTGCATGGACTGCTTAGGTATAATCTCCTCTGTAGCAAATCGAAGGCATTGGCTGTCTTTTAGGTAGTATCACAGGCTTATCTTCCTGCCCCATAGTAGCCATAGCTGGGTTTTGCCCTTTCTTTCCCTCGTGTCCCTGCTCTTGCAGTCACAGTAACTGTGTTGTTTATCTTGTTCTGTTTTTGAGTGCAAGCAGATACTTCATGTTCTGGGATGATCCTGGAGTGGAATGGGAGTTAAAAAAGAAAAAAAAGAGGGGGAGGCCAGGGTGTGAGAGGGAGATTGCTTAAATGTAATCCAAAACTAATCAGTGTTTAGGTTTGGTTTTGGAGTGCAGATACAAATTAAGTCTGTTAAAGGTTTATCCTAGTATTGTCTCTTGCTTTTGGTTATTGTGAGTACCAACAGAAATAAGGCTAACAATGTTAAGTGAATTTGAACACAGTGTCTTCAGATTGCCTGAAACAAACATGCATATTAACTGGTGTCTGAGAGGTGAGTCAGATAGACAAATAGTGAGAGGTATGGTTGTGAAGAGAGCATTGAATATTAGACTGATGGATTTTGAATAAGTTGAGTAGTGCTTCCATTTGTGCAAACACTAGCTCAGAAAGTTGCGAAGTGTTATTTCAGTAAGCTTAACTGTGAAGCCTCTGGAGATAACATCTAATCTTGTGTTTCTTTGCAAACTGCATCCCTTGTAGTCATTAATCACAATTATCCCTTAATAATTTTTGCAGACGTTCACTTGTCCTGGGTCTTCCCTGCTACTGGCTTTTAACTTCAGGACATTCTCTGTACTGACCTCCTGCAAACATAGCAAACTTATCATTGATGCTCCAGCTCCTTCAAGAGGCTGAGAGAGGGGCAGGAAATTCTGCTGTTTATCTTTCTGTGGAAGGAGATGGGGAAGAGCAGAAAATGCCACCCAGATAATTGAAAGTTTCCAGTTTGGGGCAGGTTCTGCAGGGGTGGGTGGGTGGGCATATATGGACATAGATTGCTGCATGACACTCCTATGGTAACCACACAGTTAAGGGAAACTTAGGGACATCTGATCTTTTCCTTGCAAAAAGAAAACATACGATGCTAATTTACATCTTGTTATCTACTTTTCTTTTAAAATTGCCTCTGTTAGTCTGTGTTTAAATTTGTCTGGATTCATCGCAGTTTCCACAGCCTTTCTCAGAACGTTTTAATGTCTGCTGACCCCAAAACTAAGACAGATTTCTTCAGAACACGCAGGACATAATTAGATATTCTGTAATGTCACTCTTTCTCTGTCAGCTGCCAGTCAAGCTTTAGTCCAGTTCTGATTGCTGGTTTTGATCGGAATCTTAAAGTAAGTTTGAGCAACAACGTATTTTCTTTCTTTTCTCAAGTTATCATGCGATGGGAACCCATTTTAAGTCTGGAGAAACAGAACTGATGGCTATCGGATGTAACTCCCAACAAGCAGATAATCTGTTAGGTAGTTTAGATGTAGTCATATGATGATGCCTCTAGCATGTGTACAACAGCAGAGGCTTTGTTATGTTTCTCTAATTCTGTAAAGGAAATTAAAATGCATCTTTGGCCTTTTTATAACTGAAGTTTATTATTGTGTATATATATAAATTATTTATACGTGGTTCCTTTTAATTAAAGTATTGAATATGAGAAGACTATTGGGATGGCAACTTCAGAATAAATTGTAACATCATGCTTTTTACTGAACACATTAATTACCAAAAGGTTTATATGATGTGGTGATAGGCTTTAAATTGTTTTTTCAGCAGTTATATAGGAGATATAGGTAATTTATTAATTGTTCCTCTAAAAGTAGTAGAACACTTGCAACTAATGCATGAATTAGAGAAGTCAAAGGGGATGAGTTGCCACCCCCTCATAAAGTCTGTTAATTATCTTAATTCAACAAAGAATGTGCAGTATAAAGATGCAATGCATGTGCAACATGTAAAAGAGAATAATGTCAGTCTTTCATTCTGCTAAAAGAACAGCAGACTGAGAAGACACAGATGTCTGCTTGGTGCAAACAGCCATAATTCACTCTCCCCCTCCCACCACTACAGTATGAAAAGACAATTTAACCATTTTCAGCAACTGTTTATTGGGGCCTCTTACTATTTAATACTGAGTTATGTCTTCAGAGTTTGAGACTTTTGCTGCATCTATTACTTGAAGAACGTATTATTAGCTCATGCTTAGATTTATTGAAGGGGACCAGCTGCTAGGCAGGAAATGCTACTTGGAAGGCTGTAAGAATAGCATTCTCTCAGTATGCTGGGGAATGCCCCCGGTTTTCCCCTAAATACCTGCAAAAGCAGCCACTCTATCAATTTCAGAATTTAAACTTTTCTTGAAAGAGAAATAAGGATGCAGACAATAAAATATGGGCCCTAGCCTTTAATGTAAGGAGCGCTGATAATGTGGTCAGAGTGTATCTGGCATGATGTGCTCGCTGGGGATTCAGCTGTCATTTTTCTGAGTATCTATAATGAACATTGCTTTCAAATAAGGAAGCGTGTTTCCCCTGCCTTGCCTTTTGAATGTCTGTACAGTCAATTTTGACTTCATATTGGGTAGGTCTTCCCACACTTACCACAGTTCAGAGGGACAGAACAGTTTAGTAGGAGACAGACTTATTGTTTTGAAATTTGGGGGAATATTTCTTGGGATGAACTTTGGATTTTAACTACTATGAGCAAACCTAAGGATTGGGACAAAATGACTGTGTTTGAGCAGGATGGGACCATTCCGTGCCTGGAGGAGCGGCTGCCCTGGAAAGCTGAATGGTTCTTTTCTACTGACATTCACTGGAACACCTCTCACTTTTTCAGAGGGAATATGCTAAATATTGATATTTAGAGACTTTATGCACATGTTCAGGACAATTACAGAAAATCTGGACTTTAAAAAAAAAAAAAGGTTTTTTTAATACAAACAATATTCTTCCAGAGAGAATTGTTGTAACTAATGTTAGCATGAAAACCTTTGACTGTGCTAAGAGTATGTCTATTGAGTACTTACTGAGGATTCATCTAGCTTTAGAGCAGTGTGAAATACTGGTTTTAAGAGTAGTTAAATGGATGATAAAACAACAAAATCCACTGTATGTCTCATCTTGCAAACAGGCTGAAGCAAAGACTCGGCATATTTATGTTAGGAGATGCAGCCTTTATGCAAGGGGAGGAAATGTATGGAAAAATTGAAACATTTCATCTCCTTGCACATGTTGTACAATGGGTTTAGACAAGGCGTCAGGGCCAAGCTTGTAGTCTAGGACTGATGAAAACTTAGTGTCTCATCTTCTGGTTAACTTCAGTGTGGGTTATACAGTCGGCTATTGGCCATACAACCTGCTGCTGAAGAGGCTTAGTCTTTCAAGTGGGAGTTGCTCTGTAGAAAATAATAGGGTTTCATCCCTTCTGACACCCTTACGATATCATTCACTCGTTTGTCCAATTTATTCTTTCCCACACAGGAAGCAATCTAGTATGGATATTTTTGAGTGTTCTGAGAAAATGGTGATATGGTAGCAGTAAGGAAGCATGGCTGGTTAGAGTATATGCTGCTTCCCATCAGTTTGTGTTTAACTTGAAGATTATTTTAGATTTTAAAAAGTATGTGAGTGTGCTTTTATTTGCATCTGAAGTATGCAGCTCAAGGAGATACTAAGAATAAGACTGGAAGAGTTGCATTTTTCTTTTTCTTTTTTTTCCCCATGCTTATGCAGATGCAAAATCAGAAGTCAGACTTTTACTTTCTGCTGATTGTACCAGTTCTAAGCTGATGCCACACAGCCAATTGCAGATATTTATACTCCAGATATTTTCTTACTGCGATTTGAGATGATGGTTTCTGCTAAAACCTTTTCGAAAGTACACCGTGTTTATTCACATTATCTTTCTTCATATCCTGTTCTCCCTTATTTATGTGAATAAATGCGTGTATATTCCTCTGACAAACCTGATCAAAACTGATTAGATTCACCAAGACTGTGTGAAAGTAAGCTTTTCTTCTAGATACTGTTTCTCTTGCCGAGTCATCTTTTTTTGCCAAAGTCACTGAGGCTGCTGTTATTTAAGCACCATTTTATGCTAGACAAAATAATCTCTTCTGAACAGAATTGTGAAATTTTCCTTCACTGCTTAGTAAATGTGGTGCTTTCAAGCATGAAAGATGAAGAAAGTATGAGTCACAGAAAGTATTTCTGTACTGATGGTGGTAAAGCGGCACTCTTGCCCTGGTTACAAATCAACATAAAAGTGCTTTATGGTCCTTAAAAAGCAAGATGAGTGACAATTGTGTAAAAACAGCCTGCTACTGCACTGTAACTGGTTTCTATTTGTGCTATCAGAGCTTAATATGGTACTTAGGCTTAAAATATTCATTAAAAGATCCATCACCTCTGCTGATATAGGGTAGAGAGGGAGAGAATCCTGTTGCTACTCCGTCCAGTTTTTAAGTGCTGAAATACCGCTTTTAAGATTTGGCATGGCATCTATCAGTGGATAGTAAACTGTTCTAACAGATAGGTATGTTGACTGAAATTCTTGAAAAATTTTGCTAAATGACCATCTTACAGGTATGTACCGTATTCTGCCTATACTGTGGCGGCATAATCAGGCCTGACAGTTACAGGGTTGAAGCTGTAAAGAAGGAAGAGAAAGGTGATGATTGCTGGCCAGTGACCATAGAAATCTATTTGTTGCTTTTATTAAAAAAAAAACAACAAACCAAAACCACAACAAAACAAAAACAAACAAAAAAAACCCCCAGTATACACTGCTTTTCCAGGCTTAAATTTATTTCTGTGTCTGGTTGGTATTACACTAATTTCATCTGTACTCTGTTTTTAGGTTGCCTGAAGCTCAGCAGAGGGTTGGAGGATGTTTTCTAAATTTGATGCCACAAATGAAAAGCTTATACCTTGCATACTGTGCCAACCATCCATCAGCAGTAAATGTTCTCACAGAACACAGGTACGTTTACTTTGTGGTCTTTTAAGTCTGATACAAAAAAGTGCATAAAATACACTTGTGTTGTAAAGCTGTGATGTCTCTTTTGATACGCATTTGGTATGGTAGAGCTTGTTTAAGAAAAAAAAAATAGTGTGTGTATATATATATTTTTTTTTTACAAAAGACAAAAAAACCCACAATGCAAAGCTGTTCCATGTGATTAGGACCAGCTTGTCACTTTTGCCAGTATGAGAAAATACTCTCAAACGGTTGATAACATTTAAAGAATGCATGCTGGACTCTGAGTATGTAAAACAAAGTGTACTGATTGTCATCTTTGTTTAAAAAATCTCGAGATCAAAACAATTTTGTGGAATTCTGGCATAATTGACATGATTACTAGTAGACAGTTGGTGAATTGTAACTTGGCCCTGTAAAAGCCTGTACATTTGTATGTACTTAACTTTATAATGGTATACGCCTTAGCTTTACTTTTGAGTGATATGAAAGGAGCGTGAGCTTTTCAAGTTTACAAAATCAGTATTTCCTGTGTGTAAGAAGTAGGATGCTGAGTTAACTTGATGAAGGTTGCTCAGCTTTGGGGCTGACCTTGAATTTGCATAGAAGATGCCCTGTATCACCTTGAGGGAAGAGAGTTGAGGCCAGAATTTGATTAAAGAAGTATGCTTTCACAAGCTTGTCCTGTGTATTATCCTGATGAGCATGTGCTGCAGCAGCTGTTAGTTTGGGGCTATTTATGTTTGCTTGTGGTGCAGGACGGAACCATGGCCTTCTCTTGAAGGTTAGACATAGGACAAACCCTAGCAGGTT